TGGTTTTACCCACTTATGAACCGTACAAACCAAAAAAAAAAAAAAAAAAGTCAACCTGGTAAGACAGATGTACCCACCTGTACAATAGTGGCATGACTGCTGTGAGTGTAACCAACTACCTTCTGATTGGATCTGAGGTCTTCTCCATGAAAAAGAACCCATGCCTGGTAGCATAAGCCCAGATAATAATCCAGGTCTAGGGCGATCATAAGCCCAGGTGGGGAACATATTGCTGTGTTTAACTAAATTAACATAGCATCAACTACCTTCAAATGTGTGTATCTAGAGACAAAAGCTACTCTCAGCCTTAATCAGAGAAGCCTGTCTTGACAGTAAATGGTGGTGAATGTGTAGACGCTGAGAATAAGTGATGGTTGAAGGTTCAGCTCTAAACAAGATACTTATGTCACATTCTCAAGGAACAGTATGGAAAAAGGGACAGGAAATATTTAAAAGTTAGAAGATAGGGTGAAGGGACATAAAATGCCATCCTCTTGACTCAACAGAACCATTGCAATTGTGTGGTTACTTTCATTGGACCCACATAAGACAGTCTCTGTCTTTGTCAACAATCACTCATGGAAAGTGGAGTGGCTCCCAAGGCCATACTCCATACTGTTGAACTATTGGCTATTGAGAGTTTCTGGGAGAATCATTGTCTTCAATTGTGTACGTACTCTGAGCCCACCAAACTCCAATGGATAGCTCGAAACCTGTGGTCACTTGGATGACTGATTAAACTCAGTGGGTTACAAAACAAATAGACATGTATGGGATAAAGAGTTTTGTAGAGAAGGGGTATAGTTAGAGGAATAGGGAGATGAGAGAGGGTAGGAGGTAAGAGGTCAGTATGTGTTCTGTAATTATGAAATGTCAAAGAACAAATTTAGTTAATAAAAATTAACACAAAACCCTTATATTTAAGTAAAAAAGGAATCATCCTGTGACTTTAGATCCAGAGAATTTTTTTCCACCTTTGAAAGGTTCAAAAGCTGTACATTCTGTTAGTGAGATTTGTCAATTTCTAGTGATCAGTCTACATCAAAAAAGTATAATTCTGATACTTGTTCTCAGTGGTCAGAGATTTGAGTGATTTACAAAAGGAAAATGTGATTATGATCATTAGTTAAAAATTTATCAGAATAAAAAGAAAAATTATTAACTGTGCAAGGTTGTGCAAATTCCTTAAACTCTCTGTACCTTATTTTTCCCAGGCATAAAATAAGAACAGTTGCTACATTATAGAGTGCTATGCAGATTAGTTAAATAAATATAAGTAAATATTTCCTGGCAGATAAATTTTGCTCAGGAAATCTTTTCTATTTTCATCATCACAATTATTATTACCTTGAAATTTTCCTAAGCTTTACCAAGCATACTGCCAGGATCTTTGGTTAAGAAGTGCATTTTCTGTATCTGCCAACCCTGCATCTAAGAAATGAGGACTTATTATCAAAGCATATTCAGTCATTGAGAAGGAAAGCCTGGTTGTTTAAGAAACAGCTAAGAGCTGAAGGTGATCTGGTGTGAAGGGGGAGATAAGACTCTTCTAGAGACTGCTTGAAATTTCTTTTTTGTGTTCTTTCAGAGATGTAGGGCCCTAAATGAACTGGTTGGATATCTGACCTTATGATCCCTTCCTCTTCTTGAAACAAAAGACTATGAACAAAAAAAGAATGGCTATAGGGGTCTTTGTTTTCTGAAAGGTTTCAAGACCTTATTGAAAGGTTGTGTGGTTAATTAATGAAAAGTTAGTAATTACTTGGCTGCCTTTCCCTGGAACACTGCTTGGGTTTTTGTACAGACATTGTGTTTCTTTAGAGACTCTGAGAGTTACCAAAACTGTTAGCTGGACTTTAATCCATAGGCATAGTTAAAATCCTTTGGTTACATTTGTACTGTTTCTAGGGAAACTAGCTCAGTGTTGAGCTGCTGGCACTGGGGGTGAATTCACCCAGTCCTTTGATATTGTTGGCAGAAAGAAAAATTGATTTGGGTTTAGAGTGTGAAGGTCCTAGGCATCAGGCTGTTCTTATTCAAGTGTGTTAATTCCCATTTGGAAGTTAGTCATATTTCTGTTAGTTTTTCCCCCAAACAGATAAAAATGAATGTATACTCCCCCCCAGATAGTTTTGAATGCACTTTTTCAGCTGCATAATCATCCTCCACCCCTAGTGGCACAAACATCAGCAACTCAATGAAGGCCTTTTTGAAAGGATGTTTTGGATTAAGTTGTGTGGCTATAAACTGGCTGTTTGGAGAACACCCTGGAAAGGCTTTCATTTTCCTCTTTTGGCCTTTCAAACATTAAAGCAAGCAAAACTAGAAAGTTTGCAGCATGGAATGAAGTGAGAGGAAAAGGGGCTGGTAGTGCATAAGAAAGCTTTAGTACTTTCTTGTTAATAGCTCTTTTTTTCTTATGTGTACTGTTTGGCCTAAGACAACATCTTGATGTGGATTTGTCTGAAAATGGATGAAATAACACATGTTTTCAGCTGGAAAGTTAAAAAAATCACACAGTTGCTTTAACTGGGCAAGAGAAAGGTTCAGGGAGAAAAAATTTTGTAAATACCCCTGATATTAATTTATAAATAAGCAGATATGGGGCCTAGCCTCTTGCAGTTTCAATTAGGAGAGATCGGCAATAATCAAAGTGTCATGCAAATAAATTACACAAAGCTTGTGAAATTATGCCTGTGATAAATTTGGTGAAGAAAAGTCTGTAATGCTATAAGGCATGTAAGTTAAGGGTGAAGGAAAAATTCCCTGGAAGTGTGATTTGTGGGATAGGATGGAAAAGTGTAGAACTAATTTGCTGAAGGGAGTATACTGGAAGAGGAAAGTTGTGCAGGCAGAGAGAGCAGGAGTTGGACTAGGGGATGAAAGCGGTTCGCTGACACCAAATTTTAGATAGAGAAAATGTCATATTCTTAGGGCATGTGACCCAGTGACAAAGTTAAAGACCTTCTAAGGAGTCATTTGGGAGATGAATCAAAACGACACTTGTATCTTGTTGTGAAAAATGAAGGTAGATGTATTGGAAGACTGAGGAATATTTATCCCAAGAGGGAAAGCAGTAAACTAGTCTTACTGAGAGGCACTGACTGTGACTGTAGATTAAATCTTAGGTTACTGCAGTGCATTGGTTGCTACAATAGAACGCTTCCACAATTGCACTTCTCCTTACATTTCCTTTCTCTTCACATCCAGTGTTCTTACCTCCTGTAGTTTTCATTTTCTGTATTTGATCATTTCTCTCTAACCTTTAGAAAGGTATCCCTTCTCATTTTTTTGTGTTCTTTAATCTCTGGCTAGCCATAGGATCCTATTCAAACCCCATGTTATCTGGGAAGTTCTTTTGACTCTATCTGGTACTTTGTTTTCCTTCTGTGACCTACTGCAGAACGTACTCTCCATAAAACTGCTCGAAAGTTTAAAAAACAATCTGCCCTTGGTATCTCAGTACTTCATGTGTCCTTTTGCCTCCAGCTAGACTGTGAAATTCCACAAGAAAGTGACTTCGTCTTTCTCTTGTGTACTGATAAATCCATCAGAGGCTGGTCTAGGCACAGAGTAGATGAGAAGACCATGTCGTGAAGACATAGCCAGCATCAGCAAGCGGTATAAACAAACACCTGAGTCAGGCAGACAGGAGAGCAGAAAGAACAGGGATGCAGGAAGGGAAGCTATAGAGAAAGTGATTTTCAAGGTCTGTCACAAGTCATAAGGTTAGTGTCAGTGTGAAGGTGTATCACAAGTCATAAGATTAGTGTCAGTTTCATACTGACTTATTACTAGCCTAAGCAGTCAGTAAACGCAGCCACAAGAGATCTGAAGAGAGGGAGAATAAACAAACATGAAACATATTTTATTTGGGATTCAGCTTAATTATGTGGACAGAAGTTATGAAGCAGACAGAGGTTTCCCCATTCCTCCAGGGGCATATGGCTTGGCCCCCAAAAGGGAAGCAGCTTGTCCCTGCCAAGGGTTTTCATTCCAAAGAAGGGGTAGGGTGTTGCTGGTGGTGGTGGGGTTGGTTAGGAGAGAAAAGGATGGTGGTGGTGGTGGTGGTGGGTGCTGGTACATGGGAAAGGCTAGAAATCAAGTTACAGAGGGGTAAATTTCCACAACAAATTCATATTAGGGAGAAGGAAGGAAAGAGAAAGAAAATTGGGAAACAAAAAAGCAATGTGGTTGACCAAGGGAGTCGACATGTAGGAAAAGAACTTGCCTAGGGGAGAAGCTGTGCAGAATGGAAGATAACTGCTCACTATGAACAGATTACATCTATGCCATTTATTTTACTTTTTAGTAAACCTCTGAAAATTTCATGGTAATTAGACTTCCTGCCAGGCAGTTATTTAAGAGAAATGACTCTCCTTTTGCACAGAGCACTCCCTGATCATGGAAAGTGAGTGTGAGAGCTCTGGGACCCCAGCACATCTCCTCCATCAGGGCAGTCTGAGGGCATTTTTCTGACTAAAGTAACTGACTGTGGTAGTGAACTGAATTTTGTTTGGGGGAGTGTTGGGAGTTTCATTTTTCATAGTGTAATAAGTATGCATTTCCCTTTGCCTTTGGCCTTTTCCCTGCCCCCTATTTATTCTTACTAATAATGTTGTTGAAATTGTTTTAAACAAGCAGGAGCAAACATGGGCTGCTCCTCCCAGTTTGGAGTTTTGTCTCCTCCTTCTCCTCATTAGAATTGTAAGGGGGTAGTAACCCTGCAGCAAAGACAGACACACAAGCTTTCTCTGTGAATTAATTGGTCAGGAAAGACACTTTTTATATTGTCAAGTGGCACTTAAGCCACTAATTCTTGACTGTAAAACTGCTTTTCCTGGGCAATGCTCTTTAAGGAAAAACTTCTTCAATCCAGCGATTGGTGACTAAGGGAACGATGAAGCACAGGGGATTGGGCGGGATCACGGCTCCTAATAATGCCTCCTTATCCAATGAAAAGCATTTCCTATTGAGACCCCCAAGAGGTCCCCCCCCACCCCAGCCCTCGGCTCCTCCAGCACGGACTTTGGGCCTTTTCTTGTGTCCTGTTTGTTAAAGGCATGCCGGCTACAGCATTCAAGAGGGCCAGTCCTTAACAAAGGGAAAGAGATAAATGTAAATAAGCTCACATTTTCAGAATGAGCGGTTTGCAGTAAAAAGCTGCGGCAGCCCAGAGTCTGCTCCTTTGGGCTGGGCTAACCTTTCCCTGTTTAAAAAAAATGGATAAAAATATGCGCTTCCAAAGTGCGAGTTGCCCGTTTCCATGTTTATTAGCTAAATATCTACAGGCATGAGCACACTCTCTCATCTAGCACACTTTTTTTTGGGGTAAGTCTCTTTGAGAAAGATTTGATTTTGGCGTTTGGGGGAGGGGGATGGCGTAACAAACTTCAGTGGAAACACTGATGCTTTGAGTGTTTTGGAAAAGAAGTTAGACTTCAACTCTGAAGTACTGAATAAGGATCATCGTGTTGAATGGTAAAAAACAAGGATTTCTATTGTTTTGGAAATAATATTGTTTCTGTGGAAGAGATACGGGATATTCAGGCTGTTGTTTCATGTAAACACAGTAGTCCTAAAGAGCTGATTTTAAATCATAGGGTAGAACTATTTAGAAAATCTTTTGGCTAGCTTTGTATTTCTTTGGTTTACAATAGATTGTGAGCTAACGTGGCTTTTATTATGATGAGGTTTCTTCTAGTAAAACTATACACTACATGCCTTTGATGCTTAATTGATTTATGGAGAATGTGACATTTGCTATACTGAATAATTCATGAACTTGCCCATAAAGGAAGAATCATGTTTGAATGAAAACCTAATTCTGACATAAATAATATTTGCTATTTTATGTGAAATTGTTATTTGCCATATAAATCCAACAATGTAATATCTTTAACATTTTGTTTGTCTATCCTGAATATTTTAAAGATTTTTAGCAAGAAGACATTTTCAGTTGATTAGCCATGTATTAGATAATTCCTATTTTGGGAGGAAATGTAGCAATGTAATTTGTCACAATGTCTGTGTGGAAGAAGACCAGAGAAGTAAAAAAAATTAGGGAATTTCAAAGGTGGTATTCATTTGCTGCTTTACTAAATCATGCCATCTTTGTTTTTCCTTGAATAATGTAAAAATAGCAGTAATAATTTACGACCTAAATTATCCACTGGCTTTGCCACATGTTTATTTTTCAGAACAAAATTCCAAACAGCATACTCCATCAAAAAAGATTATAAATCCCTTTGCCTTGTAGCAGATGAGAAGTTGCACTCTTGTTAAGAAGGATGAGTTCAGCTGATAAACCTGTTGGCATCTACATTCTAAAGCACCTCCTGCTGCCAATCAGAGATGTGAATGAAAGGACTATTGGAACAATCAGGCCAGCCTTTCAGAATGGGTATTCTCTAAGTTAAAGAGAAGACTGTGAAGATGCCTCACAACCACACTTATTCCAAGCTTAGTCAAAGCTTGGGCTATTCAGTTCCCTTTGTGGGGGAAAAATGCCCTGAGATTTGTTTCTCTTGCTGTGATTTGGTCACGGCTTAATTGTGTTACTGCCTGTTTTTCTGTCATTATATATAGTCAGTCTGTTCATGCCCTTCTGAAGGGAGAGGATAAAAACCTGTAATTGTGAATACTGGTATTGAAAATTGAGAGCTTCATAGGAGGCCAGTCACCACTGGGAATCTAGCTTCACTTTATAGTGGTAAACAATTGGTGAGCCAAACAATGCATAGGATAAGTGGCCTACTGATTCTGTATAGTAATGCTCTAGAGTATGCTGTTAACCTCATATTTTAAAGGGCAAAATGATCAGATAACAAGACTAAATAACTGAGACCTTAAATTGACAATTAGTGTTGATATGCCTGCTGAATAGAAATAACAGAGGAGGAGGAAGATGAGGCCATTAGGAAGACTTAAGTTTGTAAACGTCACCTTGCTCTGTGTTTTTAAGCTTTTGGTACTAATTAATAGTATTTTTTGACATGCAAATACGTGAGCAATTATGGCATTAAATCTAATAAAAATTAATGACTCTCATTTCAGGATTTTCAGGATTTTTTTTTGTAATGATAAGCAGAAACAGGTGAAAATAATTGACAGACGGGAACAGCCAATGAAGGTACTACCCACAACATCAGTTGAAGGCTTCCCTCAGTCAGTGCCAAATATGGAAAGTGAAGAGAAACTGAGGCCCAGAAAAGAACTGTGACTTACTGGCCCATAGTTCACTTGTGATGTGGATATTGATTTAATACCAATTATGGAAACTCTGGGTATTTAATCTAATTTTCTTGTATTCCAAGTTTTTAAAAAAGGTGTTATAATAGTCTGTATCAACTAGGAAGGCCATAGAAAAAAGGAAATGCTAATATGTCTGTCTCCTTTCAAGATAAACAAGTAAAATAATATTTATTTCATTTTAGGAATAATGCTCTCTGGAGTACTATGAAAATTAATTTTCCTTAATATTGAGGTACCTCAGTGGATTTTATATTGTCTAATGTTTTTATTTGTTTATTTTGGTTCTTTATATGAAAAAAATCATTTAAGGAGAGAACCATTTAGCAGTTTGCTTGTTTTTAGGCCACCTCTGGTTCATAAGAGGGTGAGCTGTAGGAACAGATCACTTTGGTCTAGCAGATGATTCTACTTTATAAGTACTGCAATGAATAGGATCCAAATGTAGGTGCTACTTGTAAGATTATAATCTACATCTTGTTTAATATGTGTATATTTTGCAGGGCTGTGATTTAAAATGTACATATATGTCATACTGAGTAGGTTTAGGAGTCTTTGTAAAGACACAAATTTTCAGTAAGTGTGCAAATATGCAGTAATGGAAGCCGTTCTCAGATCACTGGGTGGTGGAGCCTTCACCTGTTGTTCCAGTCTTCATTTTTTCCCTCTTGTCCAATCATAACAGTTGTTGCCAGAGGACAAGAAATGGAAAGAAAAAGAAAAGAAAAAAATGAGGAACCAACGTAATTTTAGAACCCAAAGAAATCTTTGTTTATTTTTTAATGTGTGGGAGCAGGAGAAGTATTCTTATGCCTTCTATCACTAGTTATCTCTTTTTAAAACAATATTTTATTTATTTTTTTAATTTTATGTGTATGAGTGTATTGCCTGCATGTATGTGAGTGCACCTGTGTCATACAATGCCTCAAAGGTCAGAAGAGAGCTTCGGATTCCCCTGGAACTGGAGTTAAGGATGGTTCGTAGCCTCCCTGTGGGTGCTGGGAATTGAACCTGGGTCCTCTGCAAGAGCAGTTAGTGCTCATAACCGCTGAGCTGTCTCTCCAGCCCTTCAGTAGCTGTCTTTAAATGATTTAAAGTTACATATTCCCAGGGATTTTGTGCTTCAGTTAATACCACTAATATAATATGACCATAGCAGTGATATGTTTGGAGGATAACTGCTATCTTTGGTTCTGTTACAGTGACATCAAAATAATATCATTTTGAAATAAGCTGGTTCTTATATACTCTGATTTATATTATGTAATAATTTCCACTGCCTTATAGTCTTGGTATGCATTTTATTGAGATGCTCTCTTTATGGAACAATATTGTGACATTCTATTTCACAGCATTTATTGGAGGAAAGCTATGACAGCATGCCTCCAGAAAATTCATTGATTATTCAAGTCTCAGATAAAATTGGTGTTAGAATTTGATTTTATCTAATGTGAGTACCATTGTCCTGATATATTTTTCACTAAAAATTCTCAGTTTATTCTTTAACTTTTTTGTAACCAGTGCTTCTACATTATTACAGATCATGTGATTCAAAGATCCAGAATCAATGGTGAAATTAGAGAAGTTGTAGTTGTTTATTATGATCAAGGCAACTGTATTATAGATGCATGGTGATTCTTTGATGCAAACCCACTTTGTCATTGATAGATAGATGAATGGATAGAAAGACTGATTGATCAATAGAGGGATGGATAGATAAGTAGACAGATAGATGTGAGACATGGTTTTATTCATATGGTGAAGGCTAGTGTCCAAATATATGAGATGAATTGGTGTCCAAACTGAGTAATGGTTTGTGTGTTCGGATATAGGGATGAAGCTGAATGCTAGCTGGCATGAATGAGTCTTGAAGAATTTGGAAATGACCTCTTTTAAGAACATCCGGTATCTTTCTGTAGAGGTCTGGGCCTTCTGCTGAGGATTAGACATTGAGTCTCAAGACTCTAGGCAATTTCATCATATTAGATTGTGCAATTTATCTTCAGTTTTCTTACTCTATAACTAGGTACTAGGGAAAATTTAGTAGTTCTGATGCAATCTTTGGCCCCATCATATTAAACCCTAGACTACAATATTCCCTAAAGATTGGCCTGTGTCATCAGGTGAAGGGTTAGTGGGAGACTCTAGTTCTTCTGGTAAAAATAAAAATAAAATGAAGTTAGTCACTGGGGGTATGAGCTGATCAGATTGTGGATTTCTTGACATTTTTAAATAAATTGTACAAAACAGCCTTAATCTAATTGAAAATCAGACCCCAAACAGATAAGCTATTTTAAAAGGGATATTTCTCGAATCAAAAATACATTGATAAGGATTAATTCTTCAGTTCCATCCGGAAGTGAAACTTTTACCTATGATTTCTTCCATATGGAATGCCATTAGGATAGGTTGCATTTTCAAAAGTATTATGAAACATCAGCAGGTGCACAGGAACATCAGTTGGAACCATGCATACCAGTGTGACCTGTGCCTCTGACTTAGCCTACAAAATTTTCTTTAGGAATCTTATATCTTAACAACTACTTGTTTGAAGAGCAAAAGTCTGAACATATTTTCTATTACTCCAGCAGAAAGGATTTGAATTATAGTTTTCATAGTATTTATGTATGTTTTGCTTTGCTTTACTGGTAGAAATCTAGGAAAGGACACAATACGTTTCAGCTTATTCTAGGTTAATTTTCATAAGCTTTGACCATATAAGAAAGAGGAAATACTCTGGGGATCAGAAACACTTTGATTTGACCTAACCTCATTAAAAATGTAGTAAAGTAAAACAATTTGAGTATACCATACCTTCGGGACTATATATTACTAAACTCTGGACTGTGATTGGTTGGGAAGAGTCTGTGCTTTTTAGGCTAGTGGGTTTATGCCAGAATTTAGAGCTTAGTTTTCAATGGCTCTTCTGAAAATTTAGCATTTATTGAAGTGATCTCATTATTCATCCATTATACTAGGGCCAAAATGCTGAATCTACTTCTTTAGGGGTCTCACAAATTCCAAACTTGGTATATGTCTTTATCATTAGGAATCAAAAAAAAAGAGAAAAAGGGAAAAATGTGGACATTCTTCATCCCTCCCTCTAATTCTTACTATCAGATTTCTATTTTTCCTGTTATTATTATTATTATTATTATTATTATTATTATTATTATTACTATTTGTGTGTGTGTGTGTGTGTGTGTGTGTGTGTGTGTGTGTGTGTGCACAGATGCATGCCATGGTGTATGAGTGGAGGTCAGAGGACAACTTCAGGGAGCTGATTGTTTCCTTCCATTATGTGAGTTCCAGGGATTGAACTTAGACTGTAAGGCTTGGTGGCCAGTGCCTTTACTTGCTGAGCAATCTCACTGGCCCCTCAGATTTTTTTTTTCCTCTCAGATTTATTTTTGACGAACTTCCAGAGACTTGCTTTCTGATTGTTATCAATGAAAGTACATCGACCCAATACTGACCCCCTGCCTTAGTTGATTAATTGTTGGAATACGTAGCTGCAAACATCTTCACAAAACAATTTGGTACTGCTCACAGTAGAAGATATAATTAACTGTGTCAAGCTATTTTTCCCCTTTCCTCATTTCTTTAGAAGCTCAAGTCTTGACCCTTCTATTCAGTATACAGTATGTTAGATATTTAGGAAGATCTATTTGTTAGAATAATTTCTTTTACTCTAAAGAAGGGAAGACAGAAGGAAAACACCTTGATTATTGAAAATTTTTGATTCTGTTTCAAAATCAGTTCATGAGCCATATACTTTTCTGATTTTTTAAAAAATATTTTATTTATTCTTTTATTTTATGTGTATGAGTGTTATGCCTACATGTAGGTAAGTGCACCCGTGTCGTGCAATGCCCGCGGAGGACAGAAGAGGCTGTCGGATCTCCTGGAACTGGAGTTACGGACAGTTGTTAGCTGCCATGTGGGTGCTGGGATTCCAATCTGGGTCTTCTGCAAGAACAGTCAGTGTTCTTAGCGCTGAGCCATCTCTCCAGCCCCCCACTTTTCTGATTTTTTAAAAACTAGAGCTCCATGTGGGATAGTTTATGGGGGAAACTTTTTGAATTGCTCTGTTATGTGTAAGTTGTGCAGTTAAGGTTTCAACACAAAGGAGAATTTTCTGAGGTACAAGGAATTAACAGAAAGGTGTGTTTCTAATATTAAGGATACCAAGAAAGACAGATGAAAATTTCTAGTTGTGTGAGAAGTGAAAGGAACAAACTGCTATGATGTTTCTTTGTGGTTAAGTTGGGCTAAATATTGGCAAACTCATCAAGCTACTTATAAGCCGTGTTGAATCTTCCTAGCCTCAGCTGTGAGGCTCAGTGGTAATGTTTATACAGGGAAGAGAAACAGTATAGCCAAGTTACAGAGTGAACTGGTGTCTGAGTCAGAAATAGAAATCTCTGCTTCCAATGCTGTGTTAAGACATGGTACCACACCCTCCCTGCTAGACAGCAAAGGTGGTGTGTGTTCAAGCAAGGGAGAGCTATGAATAGAGCCATAGTGGCAGTTTTCCCATGCCCTCTCTCTTAAGGAGTGAGACTGTGCTGCTTTCTTGTCTGTGGTCCCTTCTGTGCTGCAGGATTTGATTACTCAAAACAACAGAGCAGAAGTGACACACATGTACAGACTGCCAGCTGTGGGTATAGTGCATATATTCTCGGGGATATAAAAATGAAGTGAAGTGATGGATGTATCAATTAACTTGATTTAATCACCCTGTATTACATATCTAAATATATTAGCTCACGTATAAATCACATTGTACTCCATAAATAGAGCATACTTTATGATTTATGATTTTTCAGTTTAAAATAATATAAATTAAGAGATAAAATGATTGTGCTCATGAATACAACTGAATTTAAAAATAGCATATAAAACTCAGCTATTTGGAATACCCATCTGGAGGAGTACAAAATAATACATAGCCAGTGAGCTAGAAGCACTTGGATATGGATATCACCAGGGATAAATGGGAGGGAATCTGGCAATTGATGAGAAGCATTCTACTGTGAAATTCTTTGCACAATAAAGCAAACTTACTGGCAATAATTATTGTATATGGTAGATGTAAGAGATCATGAGTAAATAAACACTGGCTTTAATGTTAGTTATTTTATAGCTTCATAATTTCTCCAATTTATGTGATTATGTTAACCAGCTATTTCTTTAACTGTCTTGATTTTCTTTCAGCAATGACATTTTTGAAGGTAAATAGTGTTCTTAGTGTAAATAAAAGTTCTGTATTAATAGAGGGTGAGAAAGGTTTTAAAATAGTATGTGAAATGGCTTAAATGATTGAGAGCTTTGGCATTAACTTTTTTCTTCTTACCACCTCATTGGTGGACATAGTGGCAAACAGTGATAGAAACAACAAAAAATTGGTGCTCTCACTTCCTAACTGAGGTATGAACACCATTGATGTAGATTTTCCAGGTTATTTCTGTTTCAGTTGATTGGCTTCAGTGTCCTTAAAAACAGTGCTTGCAAACCATCTTTTGGTCTTTGAAACCTGGAGAGGGATAAAAGGACAGCAGTCCTCATGGGATTGGAAGAACCCCTCCTAAGATTCTGAATACAAGTTAGAGGGCAGCACTTACCTCTCTCAGCCAAGTACCAGTTTCCCTTATCTCACTTTTACTCTTTCTCTCTATTCCCATTCTTTTCTCTCTGACACTGTTTCTCATCTTCGCTCCTAATCCACTACCTATTTTTTAAACTATTTTAAAATTTTATTTATTATTATTTTTATTTTATGTGTATGCATGTATTGCCTGCACGTATGTAAGTGCACCCGTGTCGTGCAATGCCATGGAGGTCAGAAGAGGGCTTTGGATTCCCCTGGGACTGGAGTTACGGACAGTTGTTTGCTCTTATATGGGTGCTGTGATTCAAACCCGAGTCTTCTGCAAGAACAACCAGTCTTCTTAACTGTTGAGCCATCTCTCCAGCCCCCTAGTACCTATATTTATTTCTTCCTAATCTAGATTTTTCCCTGTTAGATTTTACTTGGTCAAGGTTCCTACTGTACTTTGCTTTTGTATGCCAAGGTTGCTTTTGGTAAAAGTTATGCTGAGTCAGTGTAATGAAATGGTCAAGAAAGAATATGATCTTAGGTGAGTCACTCCATAAAGACTTGTTTAATGAGAATTCAGGGATAGAAAGTTTTAATTCTAACTGGAATGCTATTGAAATGATAACCCTGATTATGCAAGATCATCTCTCCCTTTTAGGTACTGCAGTGAGTAAATTATTTTCTCAAAGTATTTTTTTCTCAAGTTAGGTACTGGTGGAGGTGACTTTGGGCCTCTGCATTTCTTGCAGGATCCTCCCTCCACTCCCTTCCCTATACATATTGATGCCGTTTGACTTATTTCCTTGATGTCTTGAAGAAAAAAATGAAAAGGGAATCATTTCAGAAAACAGCTTGTTGCATTTTACGATACAATCATGTGAAAACCCTTTACTGACTGTGATAGGCAACAAAGGCCACTTTCATTTCATGTCCTCATTCAAAAGAGTCCTTCAACAGCTTCTTGTCCACAGTGTTTTATAGAACACATTTGAAAGACAGACTATCCAATGGTAACTATTGACCTAGGAGAAAATTGCTAAGATTTCCACATAGATCTTTAAATCTTGTTGGCCTAGAAACCTGAAAAGATTATTGAGTCAATGGCTACTGCACATACAAACTGTGGTGGGCAGAAGGCCTGTAAAAGGCCAGATCAGATTGTCCACAATGAAGTATGGGGTGGCTGTTTGTGTCATCCCAAGCTCTCACATTCCATTTGGCTTAGTGTTGAGACATGGTCTAAATCTGAGTCCAAGCTGGCCTGGAACTCACTGTGTAGGCCAGGCTGGCCTCAAACTTACAGCAAGTTCCTTGGAGTTATAGGTGTGAGCCATCATGCAAAATTCTTATTTGTGTTCCATGAGAAAAGAGTTATTGGCCAGGGGTGTTTTAGTAGATGAAAATACAGATATGTGAATGGAAAGCAATGGGAGAGGAGAAGGAAGATATGTTAGGCTTAGGGGGTGGCTGCAAAGAGAATTATGCACGTTAGGAGAATGATGAGGTTGATATTTGAATTCTTCTTTAAAATGGCCATGTGACACAGTGAAAACAGTTTTAGGTAATAGATCTAATCAACTGTGGGATACTTGCTTTCTGAACAGTTTTAGAATAAAAAGGTGAATCAATAAATTGCTTTAATAGTTTATTCGTAACCTTTTAGAGTACGTTCTGAGGGTCTGATATTTACCTGCTGTCATACGAGATAGAGTTAATAATAGGGCAAGATATTTCAGCAATATTGGATGGTAAACAGTACAATTGTGAGAAGTTTAAAACCCATAGTTCAGGAATAAAAGAACCTGAATTCTGGTTTTGAATACATTGTTTCCATCCTCTTCCAATTCTGACATCCTATAACTGAAGATTAAGCCTCAGTTTCCACTTCAGTAAAATAACTTCTGTTGTGCTCATTTGATAAGTGTTCTTATGAAGATGAAATAAAACATGCCTTTTGATAGTTGAAATTGCCATCCACAACATTAGCATTATTTTACCCATTGGGTGTTACCCTATTCCCCTTGAGGTATCTGCACTTTATTCAGGTTCATTGCAATTGCTATAGTATTATGCTTATTGTATTGAATAGGATCTCTCTTGTTTCTTTAACATATTCTCTGTAGTACCATTTAACATGTGGTAGGGTGTTCAAAAAGTAATTGTCAAGTAGAATGCATATGTTTTCTTCAAATCTGAGTGGGCAGAATATCTTTTATTCCACAAAAATCATGAGGGAGAAGGAAGATTTGATGACTCATTCCATCTTGTCTCCCGTAGGAGGAAAACATTTCCTACTGGTCTCTAATCTCAGAGTGGTGAACCCCTGCAGCTATCAGGCTTTCGGAAAAAAAAAAAATCCATGGGTGACAGAAGATTTATTGACTTTCAGTTCCAAGATTTAAATTCAAGTTTCAGACCCAGGTTGGGCAATGCTACTGCCAATAATACTTGTATTGTTGATGATTCCTTCAAGTACAATCTGAATGGTGCTGTCTATAGTGTTGTGTTCATCCTGGGTTTAATAACCAACAGTGCCTCCTTGTTTGTCTTCTGCTTCCGCATGAAAATGAGAAGTGAGACTGCTATTTTCATCACCAATCTAGCCCTCTCCGATTTGCTTTTTGTCTGTACCCTACCTTTCAAGATATTTTACAACTTCAACCGCCACTGGCCTTTTGGTGATACCCTCTGCAAGATCTCCGGAACTGCATTTCTCACCAATATATATGGGAGCATGCTCTTCCTAACCTGCATTAGTGTGGATCGTTTCCTGGCCATTGTCTATCCCTTCCGATCTCGTACCATTAGGACCAGGAGGAATTCTGCCATCGTCTGTGCTGGAGTCTGGATCCTAGTTCTCAGTGGTGGTATTTCAGCCTCTTTGTTCTCCACCACTAATGTCAACAATGCGACCACCACTTGCTTTGAGGGCTTCTCCAAACGTGTCTGGAAGACTTACTTGTCCAAGATCACCATATTCATTGAAATTGTTGGGTTCATCATTCCTCTGATATTGAATGTCTCTTGCTCTTCTGTGGTGCTGAGAACCCTTCGCAAGCCTGCAACACTGTCTCAAATTGGGACCAATAAGAGAAAAGTCCTGAAGATGATCACAGTGCATATGGCAGTTTTTGTGGTATGCTTTGTACCCTACAACTCTGTTCTCTTTTTGTATGCCTTGGTACGCTCTCAGGCCATTACTAATTGCTTATTGGAAAGATTTGCAAAGATCATGTACCCAATCACCTTGTGCCTTGCAACTCTGAATTGTTGCTTTGATCCTTTCATCTATTACTTCACTCTTGAATCTTTTCAGAAATCCTTCTATATCAATACACACATTAGGATGGAGTCCTTGTTTAAGACTGAAACACCTTTGACCCCAAAGCCATCCCTTCCAGCAATTCAAGAGGAAGTTAGTGATCAAACAACAAACAATGGTGGTGAATTAATGATAGAATCCACTTTCTAGGTACGAGAATTGTCTTTCAGGTCCAGTTATGGTTTCTTCCATGATTTTTCCTATGCTATAAATAAGAGAAATAATTGAAGCTAATGAAGCTGAGAATAGATTAATGTACCAAATACAGTCAGATACATTTGTTTGAACATTTATTGTACATATTCTGTTTTGTTCAGTAATTATAGGTCAAGTCTAATTACAACAACCAAAACAGATTGCCACACTCTTTTGCTGAGTAACACATTACATAAATGGCCAATGGGCTTGACTTTTAGTGATGTGGAGATTATTTTAAAATTAAAAAAAGAGCCTTCCAATGATTTTGGTAATTGGGTTGGGCCTATAAATATAGAACAAATTCAGGGATTATTTAAAAATGTTTGTGTTACTACTGATATATTCTAGTTTTTTTCCTGTTTCAAATTATCATTGGATTTATTTTAGTATAAGAACATATTTTTAACCTAGCACTGTTAATAAGAAATGTGTTGCAAAAAAAGTAATATGTTGCGTTTTAAAGGGTTGGTAAAATTTATCTGAATTTTGAAAATAGAAGAGTTTGAATGAATATGGGTGGAAAATTGGAAAATAAATAGCATTTATACATTTTTAACCACCATTAATGCCAGCTTTTAAAACTTTCTTTTAAAAATTACACTAGACTTTTCATATGAAGTCACTAAGCCAGAAAGCTGCTATGTATGTGCCTGGTAGGTGCAAAATGGAAAAAAAAAGATCACATAAAATTGTAATGTCAATAAAAATCTTAAGCAACACTACATTATTACTTAAAACTTCCATTTATCCTTTATGGGGGTGGGGACTGGCTTGTATCAAATATTTATTCTTTATACTATGCGTTGGGACACAGTGCAGTCTGGGACCTGCAGCATTAGTGTCCAGGTCAGGAGCAAGTGGAAAAGAGAAATGAACAAAATAATAGCAGCAAAATAACTGAAAGCTTGTATTAATAATTTCAGGGTGCTGGAGAGTTGTAACTTTAGAATACTTACTCTTTTCTATTAAATTTTGGAGCACAGTGTAGCCAAGGCACTACTGAATTTGTGCCCAGGTCGGGAGTGTACTGAAAAAAAAACCATATTCAAACAAAGAAACAACAACAACAACAAAAAAATTACAAAAAGAAAAAAATACCAACAAGCAAAAATAATTCCCAACACCTGCATTGCTGTTTTGTTTTGCAAGGTTTATAAATTTAAAAATACTATACCATTTTAATGAAAATTTTAGCACAATTCAATTAGAAATGTGCTAAATTTGTGCCCAGGTTAGGATTGAATTAGAGAAAAAGATACGAACTCCAAAACAAACCCTACAAAGCAAATAAAGCAAGCACTTCCCAAATTTTGAGCTTATAAATATACATCTATGACATTTAACAAGTGCCCCAAGTTCAGAATACATCTAGGAAACTGCTAAACTTGCTCCATTTGTGAGAGATAAAAACAGTATTTTAAAATTTATCAAAGAATAAGAAATACCAGAAAGGAAAAGAAATCCTTAAAATTTTAATTTTTCTGGATGTACAGTAGATTTAAGAGTATTAAAACTTTTGAGCTCGGGGGCTGGAGAGATGACTCAGGGGTTAAGAGCACTGTCTGCTCTTACAGAGGACAGGGTTCGAATCCCAGCACCTACTGCGGGGCTAACAATCGCCTGCAACTCTAGTTTCAGGGAATCTGACACCCTCTTCTGACTTCCACGAGCACTGCACAACATGGGTGCACTTAGGTACATGCAGACAGTATGTTTGTACACGTAAAATAAAAATAATACATAAAAAATATTAAAAAAAACCTTTTGCGCTCAGTGTACCTTGAAAGATGCTCCATATTTGTGCTTGAGTTATATTCAATGAAAATAATGCCCAGCATATACTAGGATAATAAGAATAAAACATTTAAACATATTGCAAACAAAAATATTTTGAATGTGCTTCAATGAGTTTAAAATTATGCAGAAAAATGGCAATAATTTAAAGTAAAGCACCTAGAAATAATGCATCTTGTAAACTACTGAACTTATGCCAGAGAGTGGTTAAAACAATGATGAA